GTCCCCCCCCCCCCCAATCCCTGAGTAATTACTGGTATGCTTTCTGTCCTTTTACACTACTTTGCATTTTCTAGAATTTTACGTAAAAGGGGTCATGAAGTATTTACTCTTTAGTTTCATCTGGCTTTCATTTGGCATAATTATTTTGAGTTTAACTGTGTTTTCTGTATTAATTCATTCCATTTTATTACTGGGTAGCAAAGTAGAGTAGTCATGTGAATTCACCTTTGTTCATTTACTTACCGGCAGACTTATAAGTTGTTTCCAGTTTGGGCTATTATGACCATTCGTATATGTGCCCTTATGTAGACATGTGTTTTCTTTTCTCTTACATAATTAGGAGTGGAATGGGTGGTAGTGGTATAAGGTTTAATTTTCTAAGAAACTGTTTCCCAAGTGCTTGTGCTATTTCAAGTTTTCATCTGCGATATATGAGAGTTCCATATTTGCTACACCATTGAGTTTTGTTCTTTTGGCCACTTCTCACAAGTATGTTAAAAGTATCTGGGGGTTGTAATGTATATCCCGTAAATGCCCAGTGATGTTGAGCATCTTTTCCTTACGTGCCATTTATATGTCTTATTTGAATTATCTGCTTGTATTTTGTTAATTGGATTGTTTTGATCATTGGATTTTGATACTTCTTATAGATACAAATAATTTATCAGATATATAATTTATAGATACTTTTTCCTAGTCTGTTCTTGTCGTATTCTGTTAACAGTGTCTTTCAAAGAACAAAAATTCTTAATTTAACTAAAATCCAGGTTTATCAGTATTGTCTTATGGATCCTACATTTGATGTCATACCTAAAAACTTTGACTAACCCAAGGTCATGATTCTCTTCTCTCCTTTTTCCTAGAAGTTTTATTTCTTAGCTCCTACATTTAAGTCTATTACCCATTTGTAAATTAATTTTTAATTTTTGTATGTGATAGGTACAGATTAAAGTTGTGTGGGTTTTTTTTGTTGTTTGTTTTTTGTTTTTTTGTTTTGTTTTAATTATTTGAAAGACAGAGTTACAGAGAGACACAGAGAGGTCTTCCATCCATTGGTTCATGCCCCAAGTGGCTGCAACAGCCAAGGCTGGACTAGACTGAAGCCAGGAGCCAGGAGCTTCTTCTGGGTCTCCCACTTGGGTGCAGGGATCTAAGGACTTGAGCCATCCTCTGCTGCTTTCCTAGGTACATTAGCAGGGAGCTGGATCAGAAGTGGAGCAGCTGGACTTGAACCCACACCCATATGGGATGCTGACATTGCCCATCATCACATGCAGCAGCTTTACATGCTACACCACAATTCCAGCCCCAAATTTTTTTCTTGACGTATGAATATCTAATCTTTCTATCATCATTTGCTTAAAGACTTTTTACCTTTTCACAGATTATCCCTTCCCCACAAAACACACACAGACACACGAACACGGGTCTGTATCTAGGCTGGATTCAATTTTGTTAATCTGCTTGTCTATATTCATGCCAAAATCTGTGATTTGATCACTATCATTTCATAGTATATCTGTCTTGGAGTCAGGAAGTCTGTCTTTCAACTTTGCTCTTTTCAGATTTTTGGCTATGCTAGATACTTTGCAACTCCATATGATTCTGAAATCACCTTATCAGTTTCAACCCAAAAATCTTGTGATTTTAATTGGATTCTGTTAAATATTTAAATCATTTTGGAAGGAATTGGAATTTTAATCATATTAATATAACTGATCTATGAATATAGTACGTGTCTCTATTTATTTATGTCATTCTTTAATTCTTTTTACAATATTTTGTAGTTGTTTTGAAAGGCAAAAAAAAAAAAATGTTCCTATCCACTGGTCACTTGCAAATGCCCAGAGCAGCCCAGGGCTGAGGGCTGAAGCCAAGAACTCAGCCAGCTTTCCTTCTAATGCAGACGCTCAGAGGCAGCAGTGAACTCCAGTGATCAGATTTCTGACATCTGTCTGGTAGACCTGGAGAATGCTTTTGCTTCAGTTCCTAGCTTTGGCCCTTTGCAAACATTTGGAGAGTGAGCCACCACATGGGAGCTTTTTATCTTTCTCCCAAAGTGAGGGTTGAGGGGAGGAGACAAGCTTTACAATCTACTGGTTTTCTCCCCAAATGGCCAACACAGCTGGGGCTGGTCCAGACCAAGGCCAGGAACCAGGAATTCCATCCTGGGCAGGGGCCCAGATACTTGGGCAACATCTGCTGCCTTCCCAGGCACATTAGTAGGAAGCTGAATCAGAAGTGAAACAGCTAGGAATCCAGCTGGTACTCCATGTGAGAAATCCAAGACCCATCTTCTCTAATGTCCTGTTCTTACATCTCTGAAGAATTAGTTAATATTTCGGAAGTTGTCTTTTGGTCCCTGCATTTGCTTTTGTCCCTTGTAGATTGCTTTTTCCTGAAGATTTGTTTTCATCTTTCACATTCTTCTAGGCCTTTCTCAAATGATCAGGGATCCTTGCCTATCTCGCCATATTTAATGGGCAGGTCCTAAGCAGCTAATTGGGCTGAGTGTGTGTGAGTTAGGCTTGGTGACTACTGAGCTTCAGTGTGGTGATTAGTAGATAGGTATTAGATCTTCACCTCTTATTTCCATTTTCCTGTTCCTCTCTGCTGTACTGTTGATGTTTTCTCAACAGACGCCTTCCATTTCCCTAATTCTTTTTAGTCATGCCGAATCTTGTGACTTTTTTAAATTACCTTTGCTCATTTTTAATATTTTTATTTCTTGTACTCATACTGTATCTCTGGCAATTTTAGTGCTTGGTGTTATGGGGCTTCTTAAATTGGTTTCTGCTGATTTGTTGCTGGGGTGGATTGGATATGTGCTTGTTTGATAAAATCTCTGGGGATACTGAAAGGCTTGAATTAAAGTGACTATCTCCTGATACCTTTTAAGATTGCTTCTACTGGTTGTTAAAGTGCACTACTTAATTTCTGGAATTTCTTTAATTTTTTGGCCTATGGATTTCATGACCATAGAAGGGAGGGTATATTACAATCTCAAGACTCAATCATAAGGGCAGGCCTGTGATTACAAAATCTCACACAAGCCCCTCCACCCAAGGTGTGGACAGAAAAGATTCCCTATCGGTCGTCTTTGCATGTAATTCAGTTTTACTCCTCACCCATCCTTTCATTAAAGTTACAGCCCCTTTTCAGGGGTTTTGATCGGATGCAGGATTTTCCATGTAAGCTACACCACAGTAAATACATGGTAAGTTTTTACACAGGGTATATCAACTCTGTCCTAACATAAAACAAAATATTTAGCAAGCAGCATTCCTTAAGTAGAATATAGTTAACCAACTAGTGTGTCAGGATATTCATCCCTGCACTATTAGGGACAGTTAAGGCCTCGGGCTGGTTTCCTCAGTGGGCTTACTACCCTTGTCTCATACAGATGGTTATTTTCTGTGTGTGCCAGGAGTATAGAAAAGATCAGAAAGCATTATTTCTTCAGGATGCTTTGGAAAAGACTGCATTATGTTCATCTTTAATCATCTTGATATTAAAGATACAGAAAGACATTGGAGTAAAGAACATTTCTTAAGTAAATTTGATCATGGTACTTTCATTAAAGATGGTCTTAATTTTTGTTAATATTAGCAACTAATAATTACTGAAACCAAGATGTCTGTTAACACTGGGTCTCTGCTGAGTTGACTGTAGAGTAGACAAGTCTTTATGCAAACTAGGGGTATGAAATGTCACTTCCCCGTGAAGGTGTCCTAATGAATTTATTAGAACTTAGAATCCAGTGTTTACTAAATGTGTAGACAAGGCTCTGCAATAAATAGTTCACAGTGTCGTCTTATTACCCTCAGGGGGAAAAAATCAGTTCCTTTGCTAAGCTGCCTTAAAGGGTAGTGATGGTCTGGGTGCTAGATCCTCCTCTGACCCACACCTCTCACACTGGACACCAGCCACACTCACCTGTCAGTGTGCTGCATTTATTCCAGCCTGGGTGCCTTTGTCATGTTCTTTCCTTTGCCTAGAATATCCCACACCAGACACCCTGTGTGTATTGTTCTCAGGGTCTTAACCTCACCGAGGCCTTTCTTCACTGCTGAATTTCAGCCAACTGCCCTTGCTGAAATTCCTGTGTCATCACTCACCCTTGCTTAGTGGCCCCTCGTCGTAGACTACAATCTTTGAAACCCCCAGATCTTGTCTGCTTTGTACTTCACTCTTTCACCTCAGTTCGTGCAATATACAGAAATGCTTGGTATATGCCTGTTGAATGAGTAAAGCAGAAATTTATAACTTGCTGAAGTTCATAGCTAACAAATGGTAAAGTCTCTTGACCCAGATCTGTTCATAGCACCACTCTCCATCTTAAACAAGAATTACCCCATTACCTACCACCTTATCAATCACAATGTTGCTAGAACTTTTCTTCTGGAATAATGCTTCAGAATCTGATTCTTTTTAAATTTTCTGAAGGTCAGAAATTTTGATTCTTTGAAAATAACATCTTACTTTGCTAAGATGGATGAGCAAATGGGAGAAAACTGTTGGGGAGAAGGGAGTAATTCTAAAGTGAACACAAGCAATAGATTTTCCTTTTAAAATCAATTCTAAAAGCAGAGTACTAAAAAAGGGTTGAGGGTTATGGCACCATTATTAGAATATGTTCAGCCTCTCTTTTTTTTTTTTTTTTAAGCAAGGAATCATTTGATCTAACCTTTTTAAAGAGGAGAAATAACACACCTTGTTAGGCAAGACTGAGTTACATGTGGTCTTCTGATTCACTTTCAGTGTTCTCTCACCATCATTATTATTACTCTTACCAGTTAATAGGATAGCTAATGGATTTGTATTTCCTAGAAGTTCAGGACTTCATTTTGACACATTAAGCTTTTCAATGCAAAATAAAATTTTTCAGGGCTAAATTTTCACTTGTCAGATCTCAGAATGCATGGTAAGGTCTTACACTGCATCATGTGTTATTGGTTTCTTCTGCTTCTAAGACTGAACATTCCTCACGATACACACAGAAACGAAGAGACGTGTCCGGGATCCGGGATGTTTGACGGTTATGACAGCTGCAGTGAGGACACAAGTAGCAGCTCCAGCTCTGAGGAGAGTGAAGAAGAAGTTGCTCCTTTACCTTCTAATCTCCCCATTATCAAAAACAATGGGCAAGTCTACACTTACCCAGATGGGAAATCTGGCATGGGTGAGTATTTATAACCTTCACCTGTGATACAGTTTTGTCTTTGAGAATGTGTTTCATTTGACTGCTTCTGTTGTTTTTCTTAGAATGTTTAAATGGCAGTGTGTAGAGACAGAGCCTGAACTTTACAGTTCCAAATAAGAACACTGAATTTTGTGTTCGATCTCTTTATTTTGCCTACCTCCTTCCATTGGCAAGCAAATAGGACAAAATAAAAATAAAAAGTTACTAAGAAAAATGTGAGCATAAAGTCAGCAATTAGATAATAAATTCCTATGTAACTGGAAGTTTGTAGGGTCTTAGAGTTGAGAGAGACTTCAGCTCCCTACCAGAAGCTTGCTGTTTATTACTTGGAGTGATAGGATATGTTCTAACTCAGAAAGCAGTTTCATCTGCTGGTATTCTCTAACCACTAGATTATTTTTTAGATTGAACCAAAATTATCTTGCTCTGACTTTTGTCTTGTGATCTTTTTTTTTTTTTTTTTAAGATTTTTTATTTGAGAGGTAGAATTAAAAACAGAGAGAGGGAGAGACAGACAGAAAGGTCTTCCATCCACTAGTTCACTCCCCAAATGGCCACAACAGCTGGAGCTAGGCCTATCTAAAGCCATGAGCCAGCAGCTTCTTCTGGGTCTTCCACGTGGGTGCAGGGGCCCAAGTACATAGGCCATCTTCTTCTGCTTTCCCAGGCCATCAGCAGAGAGCTGGATCAGAAGAGAAGCAGCCAGGACACGAACTGGAGCCCATATGGGATGATGGCCCTGGCCCCATGTCTTAAGGTCTTAATTTTGTTTTTTAAAGCTACACAGATGGCCAGCGCCATGGCTCACTAGGCTAATCCTCCACCTGCGGCGCCGGCACCCCAGTTTCTAGTCCCGGTTGGGGCGCCGGACTCTGTCCTGGTTGCTCCTCTTCCAGTCCAGCTCTCTGCTGTGCCCTGGAAAGGCAGTGGAGGATGGCCCAAATGCTTGAGCCCTGCACCTGAATGGGAGACCAGGAGGAACCACCTGGCTCCTGGCTTCAGATTGGCGCAGTGCACCGGCCATAGCGGCCATTTGCAGGGTGAACCAACCAACAGAAGGAAGACCTGTCTCTGTCTCTCTCTCTCTCTCTCTCTCTAACTCTGTCAAAAAAAAAAAAAAAAAAAAAGCTACACAGAATAATCCTAATCCTTTTTTAATGACATCTCTTCACAGTGACCTCAGTTCTGTTGAGGTCTCTGGGGCATGCCGAGTTAACCATAGTTGCTCTACTCCTCTGTCATGGTATCATTGTGATTTAAGTTGTCAATATGCTGATCACTTTCTTCTTGGGATATTCCACATTATGTGGTAGTATGGTGAGAACTCATCCTGATAACACCTTAAGAAAATGGGTGGTCACCCTAAGTGATTATGGCAGAAAATAGTCAGCCCTTCTTTCCCCTTTTTACAGCACTGTTTCCATTAATACCATGAAAATTACTTTATATACTGGAAATAATGCTAAATTTGCATAACTCACGTCCTTTGGTCTTTACTACCTAAACTAAACCTGTTGAAACCAGTTTTCAGTTTTTGCTATTAATTTTATTTTTTAGCTCCAGGTATGAAACTGAATCTCTCTGTGTACCTATTTTCTTAGTAACTTTTGGTCTTGGACTTTTTTTTATGGGACTGGTGTTGTGGTACACTGTCATTTGCAGCTTTGTCATATGGGCGCCTGCCTGTTCATGTCCCAGCTGCACTACTTCTTATCAGCTCTCTGCTGATGTACTGGGGGAGGGCAGCAGAAGATGCCCACAGTGCTTGGGCCCCTGGTGCATAGCTCTACAGACAATATCAAAACGTTGATTTAGGGCCCACTAGGGTGTGGTCATCCTACCATTAAAACCTACTGAAATGTTTGCTATTCCAGCCCAGATTTCTTAGTCCTGACTAACAAAGCTACATAAGAGATGTTATCAAGTTTTTAACTCCTGTTATTATTCTTGCCAGAATAACTGATTGCATCAGTCTGGTTATCTTATCGGAATAAAGAACTAAAATTTTTCAAGACTTGGTGTTTGTTGCCATCTGTTTTAAATACTAGAGATACAGCCATGAACAGCATCCTAGTCTTGGGAATTGTGGTTTGATGGATGATTCTTGGCAAGAATTCACTATCCCCTTTGCATCACAACTATTTTATCTAAGTGATTATCTACGTTTTTAACAATCTATCCTAGAATTTTTATAGGAGATTTCTATGTTCTCTCCTATTGGATACCCTTTATTTATTTCTAAATGTTTTGGGGTTTTTTGTTTTTTAGGTTTTTTGTCATTTCTCATAGATTGATAAGTGCTGGTTACACTACAAGTCCCTCTAGTCGAACTATATGAGTGGAGACTTTAGCCCACTCAGAGCAGTTGTTTGCTGTGTTACTGTTCACCTTTCTCAAACTTAAGTTCTTGTGAACCTTTTTCTTCTGATTCTGCCTTTCAGGGTATTGTTAATTATGTGCAGTAGTAATCAGGAGTTCTACTGTTTCTCGCTGTATGCTTGGTAATAGCGTACCTACCTCAAGCTTTGAACCTATCCCTTCCTCCTTGTTTTCTGAACATAACCAGAAAGAATTCTTGTCTTAGATTCACCTTAGCATTTTTCTATGTGTTAGCTCATTTTAGATTTCAACCTTTGCAGTATTTTAAAGGCTTGTGCTGCACTTTGCAGCAAAAAAAATTGTGTTTCACTTTGCATCTTTGGCTTATAACCCTTTCTTTTGTTTTTTTTTTTGTTTGTTTGTTTGGTTTTTTTTGACAGGCAGAGTGGACAGTGAGAGAAAGAGACAGAGAGAAAGGTCTTCCTTTGCCATTGGTTCACCCTCCAATGGCCGCCGCGGCTGGCGCACCGCGCTGATCCGATGGCAGGAGCCAGGTACTTATCCTGGTCTCCCATGGGGTGCAGGACCCAAGCACCTGGGCCACCCTCCACTGCACTCCCTGGCCACAGCAGAGAGCTGGCCTGGAAGAGGGGCAACCGGGACAGAATCCAGCGCCCCGACCGGGACTAGAACCCGGTGTGCCGGCACCGCAAGGTGGAGGATTAGCCTAGTGAGCCACGGCGCCGGCTCATATAACCCTTTCAAAAGCAGAAATTCATAGTGTTCTATTAAAATGCCTGGTAAGCATGAGGAAAATGTTAGTTGAATCTGGCTTACATTTGTTTGTGTCTTCTCAGCCTTTTTAAGGCCTTTTAGACCTTGAACTATTATTAGACATCAAGTCCCTCATCATGACATCATACCATTCTTTTCCCTGATTTTTGTGTAGGCATCACTTACCACTTACATAGAAGGTAGAAGAAATTTTCACGCAGATTTTTAACAAAGTTCTTTAGATAATTGGAGAGATTATTGAACTGTTAGATTAAAACTTACTTTATTATTTGATCATAACACCCAAGTTTTTATTTTGTTAATTAGCTACCTGCGAGATGTGTGGGATGGTTGGCGTGCGAGATGCCTTTTACTCTAAAACAAAGCGTTTCTGTAGCGTTTCGTGTTCAAGAAGTTATTCGTCAAACTCCAAGAAGGCAAGCATTTTGGCCAGACTTCAGGTAACGGTACAGAAACCTTCTTATTCTTTATATCTGTTGTTTCTGTGGCTTTCACCATTTATCTGTCATTTGATTGTGATTCACTGCACTCCACCTCCACCCAATCGGCCAGTTATGTGATACCCCATGTTTTTAGGAAATGGGAGAATTCCAAAAATTTGCTCCACTTACAAAATTGAACAACTGTTCTGAATAGGCAAAACATACCATCCAAAGCAAGCTATGAATGTTTGTTTAAGTGAATTAAAAATATCCTTTTTCAAATAAATGTAAATACAGTAAACAGCTATATATACCAAATATACCTTCAAGAAACTGAAGCCATTTTTCCCCCGTTTCCTTGTGAGTTAACATCAAGGTAAACTCTTTGATGGTCTTATTTCCCCATCATCCTTGCTTTGTACTTTTGAGCACAACCTACCTGGTAATTTGACCAGATATATTTGGTTGATTCAACTAACATTTTTGAAAATATAAATGTAGTATGGAAAACATAGTATGGAAAGAAAACAGTCTCTCTTTAAATATACACCTGTGCCTACAGAATGACTGAAGACTGACCATTGGTCCAAGATGTTATAATATCTCATAAAGGTATTACATAACTGATTTTCGTATCTTTTGTTGTATGATCACATTTTTCTTATTGTCATTTAGCTTACTGTGATCATTACATAGCACTGAAAGAATTATTTTAGTCCCCCAGATTAAGGAAATACATCACTTAGATGTATTTCTATATTTCAGATAGACAGTACAACAGATCCTGAGCAGTGGTCTGTGCCCACATGGATGGCAGTTTGTCACACTGTGAATTTGGCCCATGATCATTTTTCATTGATCTTTTGCGTTAGCACTAAAGGTATAAACCTCAGTCACTTGCTCTCTGAACATTAAATCATCTTCTCTTACCATATAAATAGCGAAGCTTGGCAGCCTGCATGAGTAAATAACCACTGGTTCTATCTACTTTAAGAAGGAATCAAATATCTACCACAGCCTATATTTTAACATCTACGGGAGATAATTTTTTATTAACATATTAATTCGCGTATTGCTGTTTTAGGCTATGCCAACTCTGCTACCTGTGTAGATAATATATACATTGGAGCAGAACTCCAGAAAAAATTTCTCCTTGTTAAAATCCCTTGTATGTTCCCCCACTCCCCGCTTTAATAATTTTCTAAACCTTCGTTTACTTAAGCAGAATGAGTAGTATGCAATCAAATTAAATTTCAGTGGTGGGGGGGATGAAAAAGAATCCTATTTACTTAACTGTTCTTGTTTTAGGGTAAGCCTCCAACAAAGAAAGCAAAAGTTCTTCAGAAACAACCTTTAGTTGCTAAACTAGCCGCATATGCTCAATATCAAGCTACCTTGCAAAATCAAGCAAAGACGAAAGCAGGTAATATTGGCAAATGTAATAGTGGTGTAATGTTTGATGTTGATTCATCCACTTTTGGGGTTTTGTTTTGTCTTCAATTTTCATTTATATTAGACACAACTAGACAGAGAGAGGCAAGAGACAGAGCTCTCATTCACAGGTTTACTTCTCAAATTCCCACAGCAGCTAGGGTTGGGCCAAGCCTAAGCCGGGTACCCAGAACCCAGTCTCATGTGGGTGGCACAACCCATCACTTAACGCCATTACCACTGCCTCCCAGAATCTGCATTAGCAGGAAGTTGGAGTCAAAGCCGGAAATGAGTATCAAACCCAAGCACTCCAATATGGACATGCACTACTTAACTGACATCTCAGTTGCTAAGCCAAATCTATTTTTAATTAATCATGCTTGGGGTTTTTAGATTTATTTATTCTAGAACAAGTTCCAGTGCTGTGGCAGTATCCTTAATGATAATTTTTCATTGGTTTATTTATTTTTTGTGTGTGCTAATTCTCTTTGCTTTGAATGATAAGGAGCATTTGGGAGAAAATGGGCAAAAAAAACAGGGCACTTAACAGATTTGAAAGGGATGGGGGAGCGGAGAGTAATACAAGGAAGATATGGAGGAAAGAGCCATTTCTGCTAGAAGATTCTTAATAGGAACAAAAAGCCAAGGAGACAAGCAGGAAGTAAAGCAGTTAGAAATCCTAGTGAAAATACTAGGTGGCAGATAGCCTCACTGAGGCTCAGATGGTGAGAGTCAACAGAATAGAACCACTAAAGCTGCCAAAGAGGCACAACAGTGTTTGCTACTCTGTGTGCTTCTTTGAGCTGTTCTTTGCTCCACCCAGCTGGAGAGCTCATACAAAACTTCACAAGGAGCAAGTGGGATGGCAGACTTCAAACTGCTGTTTTCCTGCAGAGAGAGAGAGAGAAAGAGAGATAAAATTCATGTAATGTAGAAGAGTTCTTCAATCTTTACAAAAATAAAATTTTCTTTGAAGGAGATCTACTAATTTTACGCCCTTTCACATTTTAGCAATAATAATCTTAGGGAAAACAGATCTGAGAATTGTGGTAAATCTGAATTTATTTTATTTCAGCAGTCTCCATGGAAGGTTTCAGCTGGGGTAACTACATCAATAGCAATAGCTTTATAGCAGCTCCAGTTACGTGTTTCAAACATGTGAGTATGGAATTCCCTCATTCTTATTTTGAAATACTTAGTCATTGTTTAAATCTGAAGGAACAATAACATTTAAGCATCTTATCTTTAGGAGAGGTTTGTGTGATACCTTGTAAAGGAAAAGCTTCTCTTTTATTATTAAACTTATCAATACTAGAAATAACCAAGAATTGCAACTTGAAATTTTAAACAGGGAAAAGTACCAGTCTCATTTAATTTTCATATTATATTGAACCATGTAAAATTGCCAGTCTTATATATCTAAAAAAAAGTTACGTATTAGCAGTGTCATTTGGTTCAACCTAATAGAAACCATCCATCATTATGTTACCTAAATCTTTTGTCATTTGACCTAATAATTCAAAAAAGAGGGGTTCTTTCTTCCAATTTTATTGTTGTCTGAAATGTAAAATCACAAAAACAAAGCAAGAGTTATTGCTAATGTATTTTGTGTTAAAGAGTGTGATACAGGTCATGAGAAATCCTTACAGGGTTGGGGAAAGTCTGGCATGTGGGCCATATAAGACGTGTGAAATCAATTAGCCTGGTCCCGCCAAGGCAATCACAGTTGGGACTTTTTAAATTGATAATCTGGCTGGCACCGCGGCTCAATAGGCTAATCCTCCACCTAGCGGCGCCGGCACACCGGGTTCTAGTCCCAGTCGGGGCGCCGGATTCTGTCCCGGTTGCCCCTCTTCCAGGCCAGCCCTCTGCTGTGGCCAGGGAGTGCAGTGGAGGATGGCCCAGGTGCTTGGGCCCTGCACCCCATGGGAGACCAGGAGAAGCACCTGGCTTCTGATCAGCGTGGTGTGCCGGCCGCAGCGCACCAGCCGTGGCGGCCATTGGAGGGTGAACCAACAGCAAAAGGAAGACCTTTCTCTCTGTCTCTCTCTCTCACTGTCCACTCTGCCTGTCAAAAAAAAAAAAAAAATGATAATCTTTTTAAACATTTATTTATTTATTTGGAAATCAGAGTTAGAGAAGGAGAGGCAGAGAGAGAGGTCTTCCATCCACTGGTTCACTCCCCAGTTGACCACAACGGCCAGAGCTGTGCCAATCTAAAGCCAGGAGCTTCTTCCAGGTCTCCAACGCAAGTGTAGGGGCCCAAAGACTTGGGCCATCTTCCACTCCTTCCCCAAACCATAACAGAGCTGGATTGGAAGTGGAACAGCCAGGACTCGAACCAGCATCCAGCACTGCAGTCAGTGGCTTTGCCTGCTGTGCCACAGCACCCACCCCAATAATTTTTTTAAGATACATTTTATTATTTGCAAGTCGAAGTTAGAGAGTGAAAGAGCAAGAGCAAGAGAAGGCTTCGATCCACTGGTTGACTCCCCAATATGGCCACAATGGCAAGGACTAGGCCAGGCCAAAGCCAGGAGTTATGAGCTTCTTCTGGATCTCCCACATGGGTACAGGGGCCCAAGCACTTGGGCAATCCTCCGCTGCTTTTCCCAGGCCATTAGCAGGGAGCGGGGTGGGGAATGGAGCAGCCAGGACTCAAACTGCTGCCCATTTGGGAGGCCAGAGTTGCAGGAAGTGACTTTACTAGCTATGCCACAGTGCGGGCCCTATGGTTGGTAATTTTATATGGCCCATAACTGATGTTACTAATACCCAAATGGCAGAAAAAAAGTTACCCAGCCCTGCCTGGACGATCTTTTTAACAAGTAGACTGTTACAGAGCATCTGAAGTAATTGAGAATTTTTTTTTTAAGGTTTATTTATTTATTTGAAAAGTGGAAATAAAAGGAGAGAGATCTTCTACCCACTGGTTCACTCCCCAAATGGCCAGTACTGGGTCAGGCTGAAGCCTGGAGCCAGGAGCCTCCTTCAGGTCTCCCCATATGGGTGCAGGGGCCCAAGCACTTGGGCCATCTTCCATTGCTTTTCCAAGTGCATTAATAGACAGCTGGATTTTGAACTGGCTCCCATACAGGATGCTGGAACTGCAGGCAGAGGCTTAACATTCTACACCACAGCGCCAACCCCGAGAATTGAATTAAAAATGTACCTGATGAGATTCTTCCTTTTTAATTTTATTTTCTGAGATGAACTTCTCCAATACTTTTTAAAACCTAATTAGAGGGTTGGGGCTGGTGCTGTGGCACAGCTGGTAAAGCCACCACCTGCAGTGCTGACACCCAGTATGGGTGCCAGTTTGAGACCCGGCTGCTCCACTTCCGATCCAGCTCTCTGCTATGGCCTGGGAAAGCAATGGAGGATGGCCCAAGTCCTTGGGCCCCTGCACCTGCATGAGAGACCCAGAAGAAGCTCCTGGCTCTTGGCTTCGGATAGGCTCAACTCCTGCTGTTGCAACCATTTGGCGAGTGAACCATCTTATGGAAGACCCCTCCATCCCTCCTTCTCTCTCCCTCCCTCTCTCTCTCTCTCTGCCTCTCTTCTCTGTAATTCTGCCTCTAAAATAAATTATAAAATAAATTTTTAAAACCTAATTAGATTTAATATACATTTAGAGGTTCTGTCTGCCGCTGTCTGTGTGTAAGAAGAAAAGATGATTTACAGAATTAATGAATGAAAAGTTGTTAAGTTAGGGCTGTATTTCTAAATGAAAGCACAGGAACTAAACCGAGCTTGAGGTCCTGAAAAGAAATCCAAGCGAATTTTCACTCATTCATGACCAGTAGGTGATTTTAATCAAAATCAAGCATATTCAGTGGTAGAAATATAAGTTAAGAATCAGCCCTTAGTGGCATGCTGTCTTAAACTTGTCTTAGAGTAAGGTAGGTGATTTTTTTGCTCTAATGTTCATAATAATAATGCCTCGATTGTGAGACATGCTACATACATGGCAACAACAGCTTTAAATTCAATTAGAAAGCAAATCTTTAACTCTCCTGTCTTTGTGGTGGTAAGAAACTCAGAATTAGATTAACTCTTGGTTACACTGATCGCTTCATGTCAAGATTCCTGAAACATTTGTCTGTTGTCTCTTTCTGAGTGGCCTTAATCTCTCTTTGTACTTGTTTTTTCAGATTTTAATATCATAATTCAGGTCAAGTGATTTTCTGTACATAGTATATTTTTTAAATAACATCTCAAAGACCCAAAAACATATTTTGTTTCCTGTCCATATCTGAACAGTTACACTACATGAGATTATTTCAGAAACTTTGTGGGAAAATGCATATGATAAAAAACTAGGTAGGGATTTCACAAATTTTTTGCACCAAAATATACTTTTTAATTCCATTTCCCATGAACTTTTTAAAGTATCCTTAAGGTTCCTTGTAAGACATCTGTTATATTAATGAAATTGTTTGGTTTTATGTTCACTTTAGCTTTTTTCAGATTGAAATGTTCTAGCACATAAAATATAGTACCTACCCGTGACCATGTACTGCCTCTTGATCACACGGAAGTAAGACATCTGTCCCTCAATTATTTGTACCCAGTATGTTCTTGATTCTACTTGGCCTTCTTTACTGCCTTTCTCATTGTCAAATAGAAAAAATTGATACCAGAAATTCCATATTCCTCATGTATGTTTTAGTATAATGAATTTTTTTAACCTAACCAGCATCTCAGTTTGAAACCACTCAGTTAAAGAAATCAAACATTTCTCTAAACTTAGTTTTTTCCTTTAGAGTTGACTCCTCTTGGGTCTCTTCTCTGAGATAGTTTCGTGGGTCTCTAAGGACAGATAGAGGCTTAGGTCTTAGAAAACCCATTATCAGGAGCCGCTAGGAGTACAAGATCCTGCTTCATATATCATCAGAGGTGTCTTAAGCTCTGATACCTGCACCATCCCCAGTTCATCAATCAGGCCTTCTTCCTCCTGACCCTACATCTGCCACCTCTCTCACTGAATCATACAGTGTGGGCCTTTCCCTCCTCCTATAGATGTTTTCCGATCATAATTTACCAAAAAAAAAGTATTTATCATGAAATCAGTACCGTTCTGATTCACAAACTGAGGTAGAAAAGTATCAGTCCTAACTGCCTGGCTTTCTTGACTTACCCCAACCTCTTCTGGATTAAGGGCCCCAAATAAGCACTTTGTTCTCCAGCACTCAGGTAGTATTGTGATTAGTTCTACAGTCATGAGATTTAATTCATTTTTATTCATGGAATGGCAGGGAGACAGAAATCTCCCATCTGCTGGTTCACTCCACAGAAACCTAGAACAGCTGGGACTTGAACCAGCACTCATATGGGATGTGAGTGCATCACAGTGCCGGCACCAATTTCTTATAAATGAAGAAATTCATAACTTTGGTAAGAAGCCAGATAGTAATTTCCAATTCTGGAGCATTAACCTACTTTTTGTAATTTCATTTTTTCTTTTTTTCCTTTTTTTAGATTTATTTATTTGAAAGGCAGAGCAACCGAAATAGAGATGTTCCATCTACTGGTTCACTCCCCTAAATTGGTTGTGATGGCTCAGGATGATCCAGGCTACAGCCATCTAGGTCTCCCATGTGGGTGGCAGGGACCCAAGTACATGGGACATCTTTTGCTTTCCCAGGCACATTAACAAGGAGCTAGAATGTAAAAAGACAAGCCAGGCACCTTGAAAAGGAATGACAGTGTCTCAGCAACTTCCTAACTTGCCCCACTGCAGTGCCTGCCCTTTGTTTTTTAATGTGGCTTTTTTAATTGAGCCTTTAAAAGCGAAGTCTGTGTTGGTCTTAACAGGGAGGGGAAAAAAAATTTAAAAAATACTGTGTGCCACTCGGGTGCACTGTATAACTTAGTGTTTTTTTTCTATTCTTCATTTTTTAATCCAATCGACCCTCCAGTTTATGGTGTGTCCAGAACATTTAGCTTTTTTTTTTTTTTTTTTTTAAGATTTTATCTGAGAGGTAGAGGGTAGAGTTAGACAGAAAGGTCTTCAATCCACTGGTTTACTCCCCAAATGTTTGCAACAGCCGTAGCTGCTCTAATCCAAAACCAGGAGCCAGGAACTTTTGGGTCTCCCATGTGAGTGTAGGGTCCCAAGCGCTTGGGCCATCTTCCCCTGCTTTCCCAGGCCATAA